TATTAGTGGAAAATATTTACATTTTCCTTGTCTGACAAGATTCTGTTTTACCCAGGTTCTGGCTTTCACAACTTTTAGTTAAATGAATAAAACAAAAATTGGTAAACAGTAAGACACACACACACAGAGAGAGAGAGAGAGAGATCAGAAAAGGTGGACAAGGAAAACAAATTAAAAATAAAGCATGAAAACCTGACTCTTCCTAAGGATGACGCATACTTTCGGATTCCCCATCTGCCAGTGGGTGCCGGGATGGGGTAACCCTGTAAGCACAGCACATGTTAAGAAGCAAGCTGTTTCAGGGCTGGGCCGCGTGGCCCTAAAATAGAGTCAAGATCAGAACATAGCAACTTTCCACAATGAGGGCTTCCTGCCTCCATCTATCAAGGTGCTTTTGGTTGTGAGCCAGTTTTAGGACTAAACTAAGACTTTTTAAATTATGCTTTTGCCCTGGTTATTTTCCTTGGTTATGTCAGTGGGCAGTACCAATAGTCTGATGGCATAAATAGCTCTCAGTTTTTCACTAATAGTTAAAAAGAAGAGGAAGAAAGAAAAGAAGTATAAATGGAGCAAATTCTAAATAGAGAGAGTTCATTGAGACAACTGGGAATGGTTTTTGTGAGACTGACCTGGAAAAAAAAATGACATACTTTTGTTTTACTCAAAAATCTCTCTCCATCCCAAATGTTCCAAAGAAAGCAAAGATCTCAAATGCTCACCAATGACCTGGAAAGCTAATCGTTCCTCAGAACCATTATTCTTGGCTACATCTTGTAAAAGTGTAGACTACACCACTGAAAAGCTCTGAATGCTGTCACGGGTTTCAATGATGTGCTCTCCGCAGGCCTGGACTCCTGGGACATGAAGCTTCCCGTGCAAACAACTCATCCGTCAGCCCGAACCTCAGCGCACAGCCTTCTGGCTGCAGTAGCGCGCCCTTGCCTCACTCGAAGAGACCACTGGGCTTGTCTTTTTCTCTCATCCTCTGCAAATGTACTTAAGAACTCTATCTCTAAGGTTCATTTTCCAACTAAAAGAAGATGAAAACTTGGCTAGAGTCATCAGAAAAAAACCAAACCAAACAAAAAAAAAATCCAAAGAAATCAAAAGCCATTGTCATTTAGCAGATTCCAAATCATAAGGCTTAAGAAAAAAAAACAAAAACAAAAAACAAAAAACAAAACGAACATAAAAAGAAAAAACAAGGAACTCATGCATTATTATTCAAAATGGGTGACCCTGGAGGACATGATGCTGAGTGAGGTATCTCAGTCACAGAGGGACAAATGCTATATGGTACCACTGTTGTAGAATGAGGCTGGCATCGGGGTGGGGGTAAGACTGAGAAAAA